ATGTGTTTTATCATTGTTTAGATCAACAACTATTTATTCATTTTTTATTTATTTTTCCGTCATAGTTCTGCTTTGAAAAAAGTAATATTAATTTATTCGTAGTTGTAATTTTATTCTGATAAATCATGAGATTCAAGAAGAGGAAGAAAAAGTGTTGAAGGGATAATTAAAATATTTAGAAACTGGAAAAAGAAAGGCAATTTTAATATATCAATATGAATAATACTTTAAATAGTTGAGTTACAAAAAAGAAAAAGAAAGTAAGATTAAGGAATTAATGCATAAAGATATTTTCATTACTGCAATTTTAATTTAGATAAAACATCGTATATTCAATGGAATGATATTTTTTTCTTGTATAATGAAGTATTTCTTGGACTATTAGTATGCATTAAGAAAATGAATAATATATTCTAACAAATTTAACTGATAATAAGTTTGGTCTATTTCATACTGGAAAATCATACAATATAATTTTAAAAGGTACCAAAAACTTTTTTCATTTTTCGTATAAAGAATGATGAGATGCAATAAATAAGCACAAAAAGAAAAAATATGGATTTATAAAATTAGTCTAAAACTTTCCAAGTATCAAGATTTAAATTACTATTCTCCTTCAATCACATAAATGCACAGGAAAAAAAAAGAGAAAAACATTTTCGAAATTTGACTTTTGTTACGGCTTACTCATTCCACAAAGCGATTGTTAGCTGTTCAACAACAGGAGAGAATAAGTAATTCATCTGTTAAAATGATTGGTTCACCTATTTCTCCTCCTTTCTCTTTCTGTCTCCCTCTCTCTCTATCTTCCGAACAAAAAAATTAAATACAAAATCTCTTTTTCAACAACATTCCTATATGACACGACCCTTTCAAAGATTAGTCATTTGGTAAGCAAAATTTTAGCTGTCATCTGCCTTGATAATCAAATTCAATGCATATCATTTCAAAAGATCAAAAGGAAAAAAAAAGGAAGGAGAAATTAGTGAACCAATCATTTTGACAAAAGTGTTACTTATTCTCTTCTGTAATAACCTAACACAATAAGTCTATAAATAAATAATCCAACCTATCAGTTAGAGGGAGTTGGAAGAATGGTTACTTTTCTGGACTTATTTTAATCATCAATTTCTGACAAAAATATGATATTAAATTCACATTTTATGATATTATTCAGGCTATTTCATACTTTATCTCAATTTTGGATGAATAATTCTTTCTTTTTCTTGTATAATACAAATATTTTACTTGGTAGATTATCGATATTGCATATCTCACTTCTACAATTCTAGTTAGTTTAATCAATAATTTGCTTCATGCTTTTCATAGCTTTCATTTAGATTTTAATTTCTATTTTAAAAAGTGTGAGGAATAAATAAAAAATAGCTTTGCATCTATTTTAACAGATTACGAGAAAAACTTGTCATATAGAAAGATTCGGAACAAATCAATTGGAATAAGGTAATAAAAACGAAATTATTGAATATTAGTGGAAAGAATTATGTCATTATTTGTTAACTATTTTCGAATGCTAAAATTAATACTTGTCATCGAATAATCGCTTGTTGGTTTTTATTTTCTTATCATTTGTATTTCATATTTTTATTAGTTGTAATTCACAAAATTTTATAGTGTTATCATTTATATTTCATTAATAATAACAATATGTGAACTATTTAAATATATGATTCAGTATTTGTTTCGTATACAGTCTGCAATATATCATTTACTACTTATTATGACAGATTTTGAGAATGTTATGTATTCGCTAATTTGTATAATCATAAAATGTATGATATATATCTAAAACAAGTTGGTATCTATCAATCAATTACGTACAATTCTTAGGTATTAGCTAAAAGATCTTTTGAACTAAAATGAGAAATACTTGATCTTAAAGCAAATTTCGAAATGAGTGCTTTTCATAAGAAAAAAAAAAATAAAATGTCGATGATAATTAAAAAATATTAGAAAGAAATATCTTTTCCAGGAATACATCTATCATTACAGCCTAAAACTTTTCTCATAAAGGACACATTATGGATAAATATTGACAATGAAATAAAAATTTAAGCTGTTGACAATAACAATTTCATATATCAAAAATTATAAAATGAATGAGAAAAGAAAAAAAAAAACAAACTAATTGATTTGCTTCTTAAATATCCATTGAAAAAAGAAAATTAATTTAATTTATGTCATATTCATTTAACATTAGTAAAAATATCAGTTATTACCATTATCTATCATAACATTTAAAATCATAGGATTAACAAACTGAAAAAACAGTATGTTAATAGTCCTATCAAAAAGTTAATAGAATATTATTTTTCACTCAAATATTTAAGTTTGAATTTTCCCCAATCAATTTTATGACATTTTATTTTTTTGTTTTATAACGAAATTAAAGAAAAAAAGGCAGAAAAAAAAAAAGAAAAAAAATTGAATAATTGAAATAAGTGTTAAAATGAGGGTAATAGATAAGATGAATATGAATATGAAAGGAAAGCAATAAGGCATGTTAGGTGACACGAAACATATCTTTACATCGGGGAGAAGAAGAGGATCAAATTGATGAATTCATTCAGCTATGCAGAAAAACTCGTTTTCAGATGATTCTCTTCAACATACCCCGCGCATACCCAACCGTACATACCTCTGCACCCATCTACATCTCTCTTTTTAAAATAATCACATTTAGAAAATTTGATATGCCTTTCCAAAGTTTTGTTATTCACTTCATTCAACTGTTTTTCTTTTTTTTCTTTCCTTCTTTTTTTTCATCTTCAGTCCCATACATTCATCTTTAATTTAATAGTGAAATGACCATAAAACCTATATAGTTTCTTCATATAATGACCTCCACTTCTTAATGCTTCTTCATTATTCTTAAACAAAATTTTATATAGGGAATGATATATGAGTGAACGATCAATAAGCTATGTAAGAAATCAGAATAGTTGAAGCTATTTTGTTAAAATTTTCACAACTAATTTAAAAAAGAAAAGAAAAAACTGAAATTTGGTTATTAAATTAACTGATTCAAGTGTTAATATTTTCTCATGGATTATGACAAAATATTAATTCATTCAATTTGAACTCGAACAATAAATAAATAATGCTAAATTTCCCATCTAAAGTTTTACTTCAAAACCTTTCTCAAACGATCCCGCGCTTTTCTTATATTCATCTTTTCCTAGTGGATCAAGTCGTTACCATCCGAGGCTCTATATCCCCCGATTTCTCGCATCACTTTCGAAAAAACCTTTTCCCTGGGTCAGTTTCCCTCAGCGAAATTTCCCACAATTCGAAAGTATCTTTTTCCTTTTTCGAATTTTACAGTATTTTGATTCAGTTATTTACAAATTTATATTTCTCATCACGAGGTCTTTCATGAGAAGAGAAAAAAACAAGCGAAATGGCGCATTCAATAAGAGAACAGCCATCAAATAGGTAAAATATATGAAATGCAGAAGAATCGAATGCATTAGTGTTTAACTGTTTGAAGGTATTCAAACACATCCGTTGCGGAGGTATGAACTTACGGGGTCAACGAGAAGGAAGGAGACCAATTTCTCAATGCAAAGGTAGGGGGAGAGATGTTAGATGAAACTTTCATTGATTGCAGATGAAATGAACCAAATGGGGGAAAGATCAGAAAGATGTATCGATGGCACTATTTTCCTACTCCTTGTGCGGGTACTGTCGATAGAAGCTTGGCAGATGGATAGACGAAGAGAAAGATGAAGACAGGTAAGTTGTTTGGGTTGGTCTTTCACCTATACCATCGGTCAGATGACGTATTGTCAAGGTCGTCCAACAGAACCCTCCATCTCCACACCATCAGCATTACCACTATAATCAATACTGTCCAATTATCAAAACACATCTCAAATGAGCAATGTTTAATAATTCCACATATACATACCCCATGATATCTTGTATTTCACTGGCCAAAGAAATAATACACATACCCATTTAAAACATTTGACATTTTACCTACTGAAAAATGTGAAGTCTTGAAAGTATGTATTGTAGCAAGTCACCATAAATTATTTCAAAAAAAGCACGATACAGTAAATACAGTTTCGCACACTTGAAGCAATTAACACTGAATTCATAATTCAGAAACAAAATGGCTAAAACAAACTAATAAATCCTAAGTGATAGAGCTTGGACACTACCTGTTTCAAATCTACGATTCTATTCTGATCGGATGAAGAGTTTATCCGAGAATAATGAAATAAGGAACATTGTTTTTCTTTTTTCACTGCTCGAAGCAGCGAATCAAAGCGAAACAGGAGAGTAAAAGATAACATCTATCTGGCATCCTGAATTTTGAATACCAAAATATTTAAAGCATCTCTAAAAACCATTCGAAATATATAGTACATGATATTAGAATAAGTAAGTCCTGAATTTACGCAAGAATGATTCACTGATTGTATGTAATATGAAATTTGTGTTGACAAAAACTTTAGAAAATATGAACTCATAGTCAGGGCAAGTTCGCACAAAGCGTTCATATAGTAAAGCATATATTTATATTATTGTAAGACGAGAGAAAAAAAAAAGAAAAAAACCATAAAAGGAGCTTCATCATCATAATAAAAACAACTCCGTTTATGACATTAATATAATACCTACATGAAAGAAACAAATCTGTTTATAAAGCTACCATCCGAAATTATACAAATATCCATAACCTTCTCTGAATCCTGCTGATTTGTAGGTCTGTCCAACCGATCAAAAGAAATATATTGTCGATCAAATTTAGAATACACGCTATCTGCTTTCATGCAATAGTATTATATTTATAAGTTTACATTGGATATTTTTGTTTAAAACATCAAAAAAAAGCCAGACTGCAGTACAAAAAGAATAAAAAACAGTACAAAAGAATGTTGAAGGAGATGATAAGAAATTGATAAAACACTTCATTATTACAATATATACAAATTTTCGAAAATTGGGCGGTGAACAAGACGCTACAAGGATGCCTATCGTGGTTGCCATCGTAAAAGTCGAGGTCGTAACAACAGACGCGGCTTTTTCGCAACACCTGTTTTCCAGCAGTGTAACAGAAATCGTTGCGTGACATATAATACATGGTCACCTTTCCAGTAACGCGTCAATTTCAGAGAGTGAAGCGTTTCTAAAGAGTACTATAATCAAATCAAGCTGTTAAAGAAAAGATCAACTCATATTTGCTTGAATAACCACAACTAACATGCCATCACCACTTCAATGTGTCTTTTGGTATTGTCTAAGGATTGAGAGGATTAAGTTTGATGTAACTGGAAATTGTTGATAACTTCTTTCAGAATTCCGCTCACCAATAATGTCATTGACATGAATAGCTGTTCTTCGGCTTAAATCTGTTATCGAAATTTTTGAACAGGTTCTTAATACTTCCAGAACTGCCCACGACCAATAAGACCGGTAACTCAATTTGCCCAAATCGCTTAATGGCTTCTCAGGTGAACCAATTAAGCCTTCTCGTTTCGAAATTTCATAGCCTGAAATAAAGCCGAATACAATTTCATCTGAATTCCAAGCGCGGAAATAGCACTACTACTTAATCTCTTCGAAAATTAAATGATGTCTTAGCACTCACTCAGCTGGATAAGAAACTTTCCATAACCGCTTCGCTGAAAAGGAGGAAGTATACAAATGCAGGCAAGGTTATTTCCATCAGGATTACCTTGCTCCTTCGAAAAATAACCTACCATCTGAGCACCCCGACTGTCGACCTGCAATGAAACAGATTTTAAAAATGAAATGCATACAAACGCTACATGCGATCATATCTTACAAAATTCAAAAAAAAAAAAAAAAAAAAAAAACACCTACTGTACGATCATTGCAGATTCAATGTAAATTCATGTAAACTCAAAGCTATATTATTGTAGATAACACCAGAAATAATAAAGTCTGAACGAACCTCACAGAGTACGTAAAATAGGAAAGGTTCAACATCGAAATAAAGCGTTTTGTGATCCAGAAACAATTTCGCAAGAAGACACAAGCATTGACAGTAAACCTAAAAACGACTAGTTAAAAATTGTGGATAAAATTAATCAGGAAAACTGCAGCTACGCAAAGATAAAAACACAAGCACGGTAAAAAAAAAACAGATATACCTTTACCTTGTCGTTACTACCCAGGACCTCATATACGGACATTGATTTTTCTTTGTAAATTTCAATGCCTGGTGGTTCCTTTCTTCGACATTCATGTAGATGAATACGATAGCTTCGTTCAAACTTCATGTACCGCATACAGTACTGGCATATGTAAAGGCTGTGCGTTTTTCCATAATCATCCGGATAAGGAGAAAAATACCACGTGTCGATTTCATAGTTCCCGTATCTGATGCGTTCAATATGCTTCACTCTAGTAACCTTAATATGAAAATTATATTTCTTATGACTAGGAAAAAGTGTAATACGTCGCACAAATCACTGTGCAAAATCCGACAAGATTTTATCTCAAATTTCTTTAATTTTGTGTATATAGTGTAGAAGAATGCAGTGGCTCACGAAATACGAAAATCTTTGACTTCTGGATTTCAAAAGAAGAATCTCTTAAGTTAATTTAGTATACTAAACAGATTATCACTATAACTAACCAACCTGTTCGTGTTCTTTCTCCAGTGCTGTTCTTTCATCGTCTATACTGGAATGTGAATTAGGAGATTCGATCATATCGATATGCGTCCTCTTCCGCACTCTTGTTATTTTTCTGCGATCATCATTAATTGATGTCTGCAATGTATAATTTCTCAATTACGCTTGCTGAACCTTCTAAAAAAAAAAAGATTTACAAGTCAAAAGACTGAGTTTTCTGTTCAAGATAACAGCAATACATGATACATCAAATTCCGTCATAAAGTTCTATCTTAAATTCGACTAGAAACATGCACACATCTATATCTAAATGTGTTTTGTAAACAGATTTTAATCTTCACTATGTTTTCCTTCAAATACTTACATTTCTTTGGACAAGAATTTTTCGAATCTGACTACGTTGCGCCCATTCATCAAGACGTCGATCGGTCCCTTCATAATGAACATAATACTCATTCCCCGTTCCTCTTTCCGCTAGTCTTTTATCTATAATTACAGCACGTCGTCGTCTAGAACTTCCATGACGCAAAACCATACATACTTCACCCAATGCTAACTGATCATTTAAACCTGACTGATCGTCTGAAACTTCGTAGTTTGTTGAATTACGATCACATCGCATCGAATCCATAGCTAAAGTTAATTTAGATTATTTAAATATCAGAAATCATAAAAGAAAAAAAGTGTATGAAATGAGCAATCCTTTCATATATAACTTGTAATATGGATACATCTATGTTACATTAATTATTAGTATATCTGAAATATACATTAAAGTGAATATATTAAAAAAAAAAGGTACCTCTGTGTAGTATAATGCCATTACGTCGAAGATAACGATGTTGTCGTGTTGTGATGTACTCACGCTCATAAAGAGCTGAGCCAACGTTACTTCGACTATGGCTTGTTATGGTGGTTCTGTTTCTACACTCCGCCGATACCCTGAAAGTAATACACATCTCTGTTACTTCAACGTAAGTTATCAAGCAATAAAACAATAACCATCTCGTACCCTCTATCCTTTACGACAAAATGACGAGTCCGAACTTTACATACCTTCGTTTGCGCGAATTTCCGATCGCTATGCAACACCTTCGCAAAATCATAAATGTTAGGCAAAACCAAGCAGCGCTTGTGAGATAGGGGGAAGATATTTGGATTAGGGAAGTTTATAAGAATATTTCATCCTGACTTAATTTTATTTTTTTGAACTTAGTTAGATAATGATGTAAACAGTTACTGTTATTTTTAGTAGATTTATAGAAGATTAGAGCAGATTATTTGTAGTGGCAGAGCTATTATTGGATTATTTGACAAGAAAATTTTGCACAGAAATGAGTCAGTGACAAATATTAGTGTAATATTTTCAAAGACAAAGTGATGAGTATACGTGAATAATTGATTGACTGACTTCTTGATATCCATTCTAGAAAGTAACTGTTTCAGAGCTCAATTATCCAAATGGAATTTGGTGGAAGAAATTAACACTTCACCTTTAATCTCTACTAACTAACAAATCCTTCGTACGTAGCCAATATTTTGTTTATTATTGCACTTGTCCCGATTGTTGGTTAAAATGTTTATGATTAAATTAACTAAATTTTAATTCAACTCATGATTGTATCTAAACTTTGAATATCAAGAAGGGGTTTTGCATGTTACTACTGCATCTTTAAGCATGTGCCAAATTATAATGCAGGATTGGCGTTCCAATACCTTATTCGTGACAAGCTGAGAAAACGAGCAGTCTGTGTAAGGAAAATAAGGATATGACTCGTACTTAAAGACAGTCTTAGTCAAATATCCCAGTCGTTTTGTGCAGTCAGGCTTATTATTCCTTCGATATTATTAGTTCGGTTATTTTTGAGCTGCTTTGTAGGTTAATCAAATATGGATGATGGCACAGTGTTGGAAGTTCGAATAAACGGTGAAATTAACGGCGATACACCTTGTTTGGCAAAATTGCAAAATGCAGCAGAAAGTATTTCCAGTCCTTCTACACCAGGAGTTGAGACCAGCAGTAGTCTCTCTGATACAGCAATCTCGTTAATGCGGAAGGAATTTGAACATGAAAACTGTGCAGCCAAACCAAAATCAAACGATCAAATTCATGTCGAAAATTGCGTCAAATGTATGAATTCATGGTTTTCTTTTCATACTACTAAATAGGAATAACAAGAAAAACAAAATAACTAACTGTGTAATAGAATTTCGTAAACTCGCAGAAAGTTGTTTCTGGCATTTAACTGACCACTGCACTAAACAGACTTATCAAATTTGGAATGCTGCTTCTTGTTTGTTATGGTGGTCAGATTTTCTTCTTTAATTGATGAACTAAAACAAGGCAATACTGGATGTTATTAAAGAACTAGAATTATTAAGCAGTTTTTTCTAGCTAATGAACAAGTTTTGGATTCGAATGATTCAAAGCGAAAGTTTCGAGTTCTTGGATTAACTTTTCCTGGAAAATGGATGACAAGTGAAAAATTTTGGGATTTGCTTGAAAAAAGCGAGTCGTTTCATATGTGGTTTGATAAAACCACGAAGGGTTTGTAGCTTTCTTTACGTTCACAATAGTTTTCATTCTCTTAAAAAAACCTGTGCTTTAAAATGTCTAGAACATGTACACTAAAAAGTTAATCGATGAATTAACGCAATAAATTTAATTGTTAGTGCAGGTGGTACTAAATGTGGCGGACTGAGTACTGTTTATGACACACCGGAAGAAGCGAAGCTAGCATTCGCTGCGTTTCACAAAATGACGTTTGATGGGAATCCGTTGAAGTTACAGGCGTCTAAACCTTTTTGTACGTTTTTTAGTCGTCTAAATATCTTTGTTATGGAAATTCAAAGTAAAGGACTTTTCATTGACGTAATCATTCTACTTATTTGTTTTCAGTGCTCTGAGTAATATTTTAGATGATCTGACACCAAATTCTCGAACTATACAACCACCTATGCCATTCAAAATAAATCTTTCGGATCCCGATGCTTCGAGACGACTCTATGCTCTTCATTTGTCTTCAGCTACTGATCAGACCGTACTATCATCTATATTCGGCAGCGAATGTATTGAAACAGTACAGTTGGAGGTCGATCCGTTCATTGCATCTGAGAAGCAAGCTGAGGTTACTTGTATTACTGAAATATAGGTAGATATTTTAGGAATTGAAGAAAATTCACCAAGACTGAAAGTTAGAAGTGATCAAATATACTTAGTATCTGTAAACCATCAGTGACGCATTTTTATTATGTAGATTTTCACAGATTGTGTTCCATACTGTGCAAGAAGCGAACGATGCCCGAATGGAGTTGGCAGATGGATTTGAGATTGATGAAGGCGATCGTCAGCTTACCATGAGGTTTTCTGTGTCAATTGATATAATTCGTTTTGTGTTTCATAATTATTTTTTGATGAATCGTAATATACTTAATCTTCTATTTGCTATTTTTTTACATTTTTGTTCAGTACTAACAACTGAGCCATTGTGAGCTGTGTCCCCAAAGAAGAGCGATAATATTTTAAACCAAGTTTCGGAGCAAGGACTTCACATAATTGTTGCTCTGGACCTTAAATCGAAATATGTTGAAAATCTGATAGTGAAGGTCTTTGATTTGAAGTTTAGAATCTCGGTTCAGAGTCTCAAGTCTATCATAATCATGGGTGATGGTTTCAGACTGTTGACGGCGGATGAATATATTTCGTACATGAAAACAGAAAATGATAAAATCCTCAATGCTCGGGTTGTACCCGTAAGCGCTTCTTCAGCTCCATCTTCATCCTCTTCCCAACCGTCACCATCAGTATCGTCGATAGCAGTTGCAGCTACTTCAGAAACTGCTGTTGTACCATTTGTTCCTGCTCCTGAAATCACAGTGGAAGATGTAACGGGTTTCCTACAACAGGTGCTTTTTCTTTTTTAGTTATATCGTCTCTTTCGGCAAATAATGATCGAATACGTATGTTAGATTAGATTGTCAATGAAAGTTTATTACTCAGAATCTTAACTTTCTTCATGGATAGTATTGAACCTGTTATTTTCAGTATGTTGATGACACACGAACAAATTGGGCAGAACTTAATGAATTAAATGAACTGTGGAAATTGTGCGATGAAGTAAGTCAACTACACAGAGGGATTCCTGATTCTTTATTGAAAATTGCTCTACTGAATGTTTTGGAACGACATCAGCAAACTCTTCCAACACATTGGATGAGACAACATGTTGACAACCTTATCAGGTCATAAAAATATTATGCATATATTTCCTACATAACTCTCGAAAGTTCTTTTTTCAGTATTGAAACAATTAAAATTTTTGGTGTAAATCGGTTTATCACATATCCAATACTGGCAATTTTTTTCCGGCTTTCTGTGGTCCTGCTGCATATTGGTTACTTACTGAATCAAGATGCCATTACAACTTGGGATTGTAAAGTAATGTTCAATTAATCATACATAAAATACTGTTCACAAATACGTTCAGTGTGTTTATTTAGGATATGGAAAAAAGAAGTGCAAAATACGAAAGGTGTTCAGCGTTCCACATCGTACATGATGTCTGCTGCACCATACATTCCCTATGATGTTCCTGAACGAAGAAATTCTAAAATAAGTACGGCAAGGAAACGCGCTTTAGCAACAATAATGGGCGTCGGCGAAGTATTAGCCAAAGTTCGGACCATGCTAGCAACGGAAGAAGGGGAATTGGATGTTGATGAAGATGAACACGGTTCTTTTCTCACACTATATACTTTTTTTTTTTGATCTGTTTCAACTTTTTTTTTCTTTTAAATTCTCATCTATTATCTCTATAAAGTGAGTTTGAGATTCATAATAAATCTAAAAAAGGATGCCTCTTTTTTCAGTTTAGTTATGAATTTTAGGGAATTATACTATTGATGGACAACCACTATCGTTTGAATCATGGGCTAATATTAATAAACCGGTGAACCCAGCTCCAGTTTATGAACAGCCCCAGTTATTTATCCACCCCAAGATGCGAAAGTTCAGGTTATTTTAAGAGAAAATATATTTCAAGCGGAAAATTGGTAGTTAATATGTTTTTTAACTGTTTAATCCTTCTTTACAGTTTTACTTTTCCTGTCTTTATTTTTAGGAGATGAATTTTGCAAAAGTGATGAACTCTCTGATCATATGTCCTTCACATCTTTTAGTTAATGAAAATGTCTCAATTTTCTCGTTTTATTTATCAAACTGTAATTTTAGAAACCAGTGGAAAAAAGAGACGTGGCAGAAGAAAATGAAAGAAGAAAAAATTAAAAAAACGCAGGAAGTAGAGCTAGAAATTCAAAATGAAAAGGATGAAGAATCAGCTCCAGATGGCGAAGTTAAGGCAGAGACAGAAACTCCTGTAATCAGGCGAGAGGTTTGTTTATTTCTTTTATTGTTTTAGATGGATGCATTCGTTATTCCTACTCTTGCTGATGCTTTATTCTGAGAAAACATGCTAGATTTTTTAGTAGACATAAAAAGCCAAATACAAGAATTATAGTGTCAGTATTCTATTTAAGTTGGAAGAAGGAGAAATGTCATCAGAAAGTTCATCATCATCGTCAGCTTCGACATCATCAGATGAGGATATTGATGATGGAGCAACGTCCAGACACCGTCGACGAAAGCGTCGGAGACATGAAAAGTGAATTTTCTCTTTTTTGAACTTCCGTACAACTTTTTTCGTTTTTTACGTGTGTGACATTTCATACCAATTTTGAGCTTAAAATTCAAATCGACTTTTAGAAAATCTTATTTACCTCTGTTTTACTTAAAAGAAGTTTCGTCGTTTAATTTTTCTATTACTCCATAATTCATTTATCATCAGGTCGTTACGACATTGTACACTCAACATTTTATTCCTTCGTTGTTAGTATTTTCTCAGTTTGTTTTTTGCAGGAACAATCAGTTAAATCCCGTACAGGCTGCAATGGATTCTGTTAATCCACAGTTCACGACACTGTTCGCACAACTCTATGAACATCGACATACACTGTGTCGATTGCTCTTATCTTCACACAAGAATGCTTTTGCATCTGTATTGGGACAGGTAAGGATGTAATCAGGCGTACATTTGAAATTTTCTCGAAAAATTAAACTTCAAAAGAAAACTGCTTTTCTACGCAGGATATCCAATTTCAGGTACTTTCATCACCACAAGGCATGACATCAGCTCAGCAAAACCAGATGAATTTGTTTATCCAAAATTTCTCAGCACAGAATTTACCAAAATAACATTATTTTTTACATTTTTAATATAGTATTAGGAATATTTTGTTGTGTATTATCTTTTAGAATTATCCTATCCTCCTGTTATTAACCATCGAGACAAGATTCTGTTTATAGACTAGATAAAATAGTTTTCTAACCTGCAATATTTTATTCATTTACTTCCATGAAGCATATGGTTGGAGACAGTAGAAAGAAATTGTGAGTGATAACTTAAGATGTCGAAAAGGTGCACTTCGTTTCTTATTCCAAAATCCAAAGGGAAATGAATAACTGCACTTTATTACCTGATAACCGTAGCGAGCATACTTGGTTATTCCCATTTTCTCTGATACTGTCTCTGTGATCAGTTCAGCTGCTTTATTATGCAGTAACTATTCATGTTTATGGCAGCATAAGTTCATTTTTTTATATAACTTATAACACAGTGTATTGCTTTTATTGGTTTTAATACTGTTTCGGATTTCATTTTTTTCTTTACTCAAGTTTCTTGTTATGTTTTGTGCTGCATTGTAAGCTGTCAATTTTTTAAAATATGATTTATCTTAACAATTATTTGTAAATGCATATCGTCATGTACATCTGTTTGAAATAAGCCTAATTTTATGGTGAAAATCTGTATAATCGTATCAAATTTGCCATTCTTTTATTGTACAAATTTGAACGTCGTGCACTTTGAACTCTAGCCATGTTCATAATTTGTCCCAGTGTTTTATCATACATGTAAACTTCTTTCCATGAAATTCATTCAGATAACTTACAAAACTTTAATTTTTTGCTCCTTCTTGCGTCGTTCCCTTCATAGGTTTATTCTGAGTTCTAAACTTTGGATTTGAATTCATTCGACCCTCTATACTGTTAAAAATATGTTCCGTTTATTCTCATTTGTTCGATGCAGGATTTTTTTAAATGTTTTTCATTTAACATTTTTTTTATCCAAATGACAGGCAAATGTTGCAACATTTTATATTTAAATAAATGTTTAGTAAGCAAATGTTGCTTATCTGGAATGCTTACTAAAGTGCTGTTTTTGTCAGGAATGCGTGCTTGCATTATCATATGGAAAGGATGTAAAGAAAAAGTATTTGCTATGAGGCGTCAGTGAACTAACATATCAAGTTTCATTTTATGTAATCTTTAAAATTATTTGGGTAAATTATACTTCCCCAAATGTGTCGTTGATAAGCGGGAAGCCCTACGCTGAAAATTTTCAGTTTGCGTGACTTAAACTATGCATCGTTGGAGGAAATCCCAAATACTCATTTTTAGCTCGAGTCTCTCTTCTCTTCCGTTCGGATGGAGTGTGGCGATGCACCTGCTGATAGTCCTTCTTTTTCGGACGATGAAGCAGATTACGATTATGGTTGGTACATTCTGTTCAGTTGTACTTCTCATAAAATATTTTTTGTTGAATTCCACTGAATTGATCACATTTAGATGACTTTTACTGTAATGGAGAAAATTGTGGAATGGAGATATTTGAAAGAGAAGATCCGGAATACATTGAATATGCATGTCTAAAAGTTCCGGAGGTATGTATCATAAAGTTTTCGGTAATTGTTATCAATATAATGTAATGTTATAAGGGAGAAAACGATGCTCGGGATAGATTTTATCTGCTTCTCAACTATATTTCTGATGTAGACTAATTTCATAAATATTTAGGTCGAACGTCTCTTGAAGGAAACTGTGGATCATGTCGTTTCAACTTTGAATGTATCATCTTCACTTGCCAAAATCCTCTTGCATTTTTACAAGTGGGACGACTCCACTTTAATCCAGTTGTACCGCGTTGATCCTTGTAAAGTTCTAGTCGGTAAGCTTTATGCAATTAGTTTTAATCAATGCCTTTTTAGAAGTTGATTAATTGATTAGACATAATAAATTTCTCATATTACGTGGTTTTCTGTTATTGAGTCGGGAACCTCAACAGTTAGCTTAAACGGAACAATTACTTGGCTAACATTGTTAGCCTTTACTAGAAAACACGTGCATTCAAACTGTCAACTTACACTGCATCTGCTGTGTGTTACTATGTGCTTGTTATTCTACTGCTTAAATTTTAGATTGCTTTGTGTGCGCTGGTTCTTCAAAGCAACAGCCAGACACTATGAGCTGTGTGGTTTGTACGAGGTTACAAGACGAATGTACCAAAATGTATGCATTGGATTGTGGGCACAGCTTTTGTTCAGCATGTTGGATGGAATATATCGAAACACAGCTTTGTAATGGCTTATCAATCACGTCAGCTCTTATCACTTAGTTCCTTAAATGATCCGTTTTTAATTTAGTTCAAAATTTAAAATAGTTTTTTTTTTTCCTGGTGTATTGGTACATTCTGCTAACCGTTGTTTTATTCCGACCATTTCATCAATTACATAACTTAACGAGTCTAGAGGGAGTTCGATATAAACAACTTCAAATTTTTATAGAAACATTTCATTTTTTCTGGTAGCTTTGAAGTTAATTAGTTGTTATGCCAATCTCAAAAGGTCATGTTTATGAAGATGAGTAAAAAGTGGATTTTGCGGAAAGGAAAGTGTGCAGTTTGTTTACAGGATTGGTTGTATGGCAAGCGGGTGTACATTACTGTGTTTAGAAGATTTTGTACTAAGGATATTGAGCGAACGCACAGAAATAAGACATAAATATGAAAGGTTGATATTCAAAGATTGTGTAGAATCACATCCACAGTTGCGATTTTGTCCGGGTATTGATTGTCATGTCGTTATCAAGGCACAGTGCCAAAAGGCCAAGAAAGTTACTTGTACCAGTTGCCGAATTTCTTTTTGGTATGTTCCAAGTTTGCTTCTACAAAACCTGACTGTACATTCTGTCGTCGTGCAAGTGGTGACCAGTTTGGACAAGACCTGTGCATGTTGGTCATTTCCGGAAATGCGAAGTAGCTTTTGTTGGTTGACGATTCAAGCAGTTAGAATTAAAATTAGAGTCCTGCGGTAACCTAATTTTAGCGGGGTGCATGGATGAAATCGTTATAACAATTTACATCGTAAAAAATTTTTTGAAGTTTTATTCTCTGCCCTACTTTGGATATATTTTTGCCATTATCTAATTACGTCCTGGGTTGAAAGACTGGACAATTTTAGTTTCGAATTTGAATTTGTTATTTTTGTTTTTGTTGCCAAAGTTTTGCAAATGTCTTTTATGTTCAGTTTTGTTTATAGTTTTCAATGCGGTTGTGATTACCACGCACCGACCTCCTGCGAAACAATACGCAAATGGTTAACAAAGTGTGCTGATGACAGTGAAACTGCAAATTATATAAGGTTAAAATAGATTCTGCCATATGCATCTTACATTGGAATCATACACCAATATTTTTCATAACCTTTTTGTGCACGTCACAGAGAATACTTTTTATTTTTTTTAATATGCAATTTCCATTTAGTGTTTTATGTAATTTGGTTTGTTATTTATGCATATTTGGGTAATTTAGTGCACATACAAAAGATTGTCCCAATTGCCATTCATGTATCGAAAAAAACGGCGGATGCAATCATATGCAGTGCGCCAAGTGCAAATATCACTTTTGTTGGATGTGTTTTGGAGGTCACTCATATTTTTTTTTAATTTCCATTAATTGGGGTCTATTTTATTAATGTTTAATAAAGGATAGCATGGTCTCACTAATGCGGGACTTAAATTCCCTTTCATATCCCAATATTTTGCTGCATGCATACTAGATTAAAATAATTTTTTTTTTCCTTTTGTTTGCAGCAACAAAAACATTCAGCTAAGGAAGTTACTCAGAAAAAATCTGTTCTGTATAAATTGGAGTTCAGATCTTCGTCTCAAGATAGATTTTGAATTTCAAATAAACAAAATGCCAGTGCGTATTACGTATTTTCTACTTCAAATTTCCACTTCTTCACATAAACAATTTAGAACATAATTTTTACGTTTTTTTTTTTTTTTTGTATAGACTGGAAGAACCATGGAAGCGAATATTATGAATGTAGTCGCTATAAAGAGAACCCATCTATAGCCCAGGAAGCAAATCATGTCAAAGCCCGTCGTGCACTTGAAAAATATCTACATTATTATGGTATATTTTTATCTATTTTTGTAGGATTTGCAGAATATTTTTACTTTACCAGCTAATTAATACATTGACCGTTTGTTATGTACCATACTAGAGAAATGCATAACATAATATATATAAAAAAAAGGTGTTTGTTAAGTTTTACAGAGCGTTATGAAAATCATCACAAATCCTTAAAGATGGAAGAGAATTTGCGGAATTGTATAATGAAAAAAATCGATGAGAAAGTGAATGGGTATGAAGGGACATGGATTGATTGGCAGTACTTGCATAGAGCAGCCACATTACTTACAAAATGTCGTTACACGCTGCAGTACACTTATCCATATGCATATTATATGGAAAATGGACCAAGAAAACAGCTGGTATGATCTTTTGAGACTGTCGAATAGTTAAAACTTTACATGTAACTCCCAAATCTTTTTTTTTTTTTTTAAATACACGTCATTTTAGTTAAACGCGACTTTTCTTTGAGGTTTCATTAGCCATCGTATAAGAGATAAGTGATATAAGTTAGAACTGAAATGTTCTTGTCACTTAATTATTTATTTGTTCAGTTCGAATATCAGCAAGCTCAGCTAGAAAAAGAGATTGAAGAGTTGTCCTGGAAAGTCGAGAGAGCAGAAAGTACAGAACGAGGTGATTTGGAAACACAAATGCATGTAGCGGAATGTAAACGACGTACACTTCTACAAGATTTCTTCGACTGATAGTTCCACAGAGTAGTTAAATCTCCTGCTTATATCATAAGAAGTTTTTTCATCATGCTGTTTTATCGGGTTGTATGTAGTTAGTCGCTGCTTGACATTTTTTTGTTATTATTGAAACCGTCTTTGTATTTTTGCTCAGAACTTCGTTTCATATTGATTGTTTTCCAATCATTTCCTTCCATTTATATGTTCCTATTTTACAAATTCATTGTGATTCGGAATTCTTTTTCAAAAGATTTCTTTAATATTGCCTATTTTGTTGCTTCTAACCAATCGATATTTTGCATTCTATTACCTACATTCTGAAGAGTATGCAAATGATTTACTAGGATTTATATTACTTTTGGTTTATATTCTGTTAGTTACTTATTCTTTCAGAAAATGTTCATGTCTCGAATTATGCCTTTTAATTTATAGTAATAAGTTGCTGTTTGTGTCATGTTTTCGATGTTTTTTTTTTTTACATTGAAATATTGAGTTTATGCACGCCTTTGATCATTTAGCTTGCAGTTGCTTCGACCTCATATTTATGTCCAATAGGATCTGTGAAATTGAAAGGGGTTTGGTGAAGTATTTTAATTTTAATATTCGAATTTACGTAGTCGAAAATTAGTTTATGGATCAATCCAGGATTTCATTCTCGCTTTCTTAAGCTTATTTCCGTAGCATGCAGATTTGAAGTTTGAGATAATGGAACGGTCCTGAAATATCACTTTATATTGTTATTGTTGAAATTAGGATACACTTCGTTTTTATTTCACAACAAGGAAATAAATTGACAGTTATTGTTAAGCAGCTATTTTATGAAACAGTTTCACTGCTTTTGAATATGCGCCATTTTATATGCACCATTGTTGTGTCCTCAGTTGAACAGTTGCCTTTTTTATTGGGGAATACTTTGTTTTGTGTATTTGCACTGTCTTTAAGGCCATTTTTCTTATTACTGACGTTTGGTTCGTGTGTATGTATCCTTATATTGTGTTTTTAGAAATCATTGTGAAGTCTTCATTATTTCTGACAGGATGTATCGGATATTATGGAGCAAACTTATGTGCTCATCGTTTTCGTTGTCGGCGATGTCTTGACAAAACATCATTAAGATGTCGAAATTTAACGATTGGTAGTGTGAATTAATAGAAGTGATTGTACAGATAGTGTAACCTCGGGGTGGATGATAGGTTTTGCACTTCGAATCTGCTGACAGCAACTGTGAAGTGTTTCAAAATGCATAAAAATCGCTGGTGAGTTGGCGAACACCAGCACTGTAAAAGAAGAAGGTAGTCGAAATTTGGCTTATTGTCTTAACTGGTTTCTGTCACTTCATCTGACTTTTCGACGTAACGTTTTTAGCGGTGCAATCATGAAATGGTTCAGTGATATTTTTATATTTTTCGTTTATTTTCGATATAGAACTGCAACAGTCAAGGGGTTGGAGTGAAGAGAGTTCAAATTCACATTTTTGTCAATGGCGGTGTTAAATAGATCGGCGGAAAGGAAATTATGTGCCATTTTGCGCAATTAATGATAAATTATGTGCTTATGAAGAGAAGAAATGGAATTGGTGATTCAAAATTGCCGTTTCAAACTGAATTTCTGTTGTCGTCGATTACATCAAGCATTATACTATCGGTTACCGTTTAAAGCTCAAAATAATCAGAAACGATAGGCGTCCGAGAGATAATCCTAGTTGTTACTCTGAACGACGAAGAAACGTTTAGAGTCAGAAGGTTGCTTGCAACTCTTCATTCATTATTGAAAAATAATTATGAAACTATCAAATCAAAATTTACTCATAATTTGAATTTCAGAACTGGATTATTGAATAGAAGTATCGTTAGTGATTAAGTGGGAAAGTAAATGAATAAAAATGTGAAACAAACAAGACAAATGATATCTCCGTGAGGAGGTTTCGAATTTGAACGACATTCCAACTTTGTTACGAAATGAATTCACAGCAATGTTTTAGCAAAAAAGTTCAGATATCAGGCTTTGATTCTGGCATTTTTTGTATCTATTGGTGAATATTTGTTGATAATTGATTTCTCAAATAAGAAAAACAGAAAAAAAGACATATTAGCTGTAATTTAAAAATAGATGTGGGTCGCTGATAAAAATAATATGATAAAAACTTCAGATGACAATATTATACATATGTATAATTATCTTCCTCACTTAATCATATTGAAAGAGCACAAACACAAACTTTGCTCATCTGATGTAGTCATCAAAATGATTAGGTTATTTTGTTGTAGTTAAGGTTTCCTTTTGATTATACCAGAAATTCTTTTCACTTAGGATATGTTTGAATCGTAACCATAACTTTGAAACTAAAATTCCAAAATAATTTGTTAAGTAAAATAAACGTCCATCTAAGCTCTTCAAGTAAGTAAACCAGTAAGAAGCACACTATTCTGTCAACTCATTTTGTAAGAACTGACAGGAAAAGTAGTGGTTATGTCGGTGTATGTCTGGGAATGTATTTGAGGATGATACATTGAAAAACAAATTTCCCTATTACGCGGATAGCTTTCAGTTCTTTCACAGTTGCGGTGTATCTTTGTGTAACGAATGTAGATTTGTTGCATATGATAACTGATCAAAGTTTCGACTTTTGTGATTAATGAGTGTAACCTAAATCATAGAATATTGAGAATGTTCAATTGGAAATAATATTGAGGTAGATGGATGCAGTAAATTGATTTTGATAGTGATGAAGAATAGATCTCGTGATGATTGTATATTTGAGGGTTAAGTTGTGTACATCTCACGCTTACTTCCCATATGTAAATGTTTGGTAGGTTGGGGGAGTAAGAAAGGTGTATGGAATGAAGACCATGGTGTATAAAGTGAACTTTCGAAATTGGTACAGCCCAAGGACATATCGCGTGACGATGATGCAGGAGAACGAATGGTAGCAAGAGGAGGGGAAGGAGAATAATAGAATGGCTGTTACCAATCACGGGTAAAACTCCTCACAATATTTCTACCTCGTTATTGAGGGATAGATGTATGTGTGTGTATGTATGTATGTGTATGTTTGCCTGCCCATTTGTGGCTACACCTATAGGTCGTCTCCCGAGGTTTTGAATTGGAAACAAGTGAGGAGGGGAGGCTCTAATTGTTTGTTTCCTCGGGTATTAGACACGAAAAGAATGGGATTGAGTGTTTGAGCTGGGTTAGGTTGAGTACAACGCAGACGGTAAAGCAAGTATTGGATGATGGACGGATGGATAATGAATGAGAAGTTTAGCTTCAAGAATAATCAGAGGAGAGAGGAGTAGTATAGTGACACAGTTGCAAAGGACGAGAGGTCGAAATTAGAGGGATGAAGAAGTGAAAGGTAGGATGGTAGTGGTATCAATTGAGTGTCTCGAAGATTTTTCGCCAATTCCAAAGGCATAAAAGGGATAGCTAGACGGATTGGGTGAGGGCGAAGGTTGCGAGGAGAATAGAAAAGCAGTTGTGTGTGTATATATATATGCATCATGTCTCCGAGTCAATGATGCCTCCTGATGGTGGCGCGACAGGACGGATGCTCGGTCGGTTGATCGGTCGAGTAAATAGATTGGTTGTTCAGTCACTCACAATAGTTATAATTGCTATTGTCCTGCTGTCACTGACTGTCGATGTTGCTGTACTGACGAGGTAGATGGTGCTGCTGTATTACCCGCGATGGTACTGGTCATGTGTTGTTACCAATAACAGCAGTGACGGGCAGGGACTAGAGGTAGAAGAGAGGAGAACAGTATATCTGTTAAATGGGAAGGTGACAGGTTTCTCTAAGTTCTGCATCCTTCTGCCTCATAGATCCTTCTGTGCTTACGATCTTCTATCCTATACTGATCCGTCAAACATTGCAGGGAAATAATTGTTTAATGAGTATATTTTGTATCCAGGATAGTGACAAATTTTAATGGAATATTAGCACAGCTCGTAGAGTATCAGACTGCTACCAAAAAAGGAATGCAGTAAATTCCAGGAGGAGGCCATTGATCTTATCGTTCCACACCGTAACGTTTCCTTTTTTCTCACTGTTCACATTTTTTCTTCCCATTTCTCAGTTTCCAGTCAGTTCAATTTCTATAGAATATTAACTGATTAGTATCTGCAAGTGAACCTGATACACCCTGTTCCGGCATTCAACCGAATACAACATGTAATGCTGGATAAACATACCTGAATTGCTGCTGGCACATACTCAATGGCACTAGATGAATTCACGGTTCACCTCTCCTATCCGTGTATTCGCCAGTTCCATAGAGCTGTGCAAGTATTTGCTATCTCCAATTAATTTACCCTCCAATATGTTAACAATTGCGCATCTTAAATTTTTTTTTTCTCATTCACGCTATTAATGATTATCCCATTATCCGGTTAATGATTACACGGTTACCTGGTGGTATCCTCGACCAATCTCTTCAATCTACTGTACACTTTTCGCAATGAGTAAAGTGATTTTTGCATTTTAATTTGCGCCATCTTTTACGAATTACGCTCGTTTGTTTGTTTTGAAATTTCAGCATATTTCTCACTTCAGTTTACTAATTTCATAATCTTTCACGTAAATACTTTCAACAAAGATTTTGCGTCATCTTAATTCAAACTGTTTCCACATTCTCCGACTGCGTCATCTGTTTAACTGGCTCTGATTCCGTTCTGCATAGCAATAATTTAGGAAAGAAATCTCATGGATAACCTTTTCTTTTAACTTGGAATTGTTCTCGCTATCCTTCAAAATCAATGCTCTTTGGATAATTCGATTTTTTTAATTGTTAACAAATCATTGATAATAAAAGAAAAATCACCATTTTGATCTTTCCTTTGTTTTTGAATTTGCTGAAAAGATCCAAATGGATAGCTAAGAGAGATGATGAGTCCATTGTTCAAATATATATATATATCTATATGTTGAATCCATTGTTCAGATATTGTCAAAATCTCCCTCCTAAAAGAATGATCAGTGACCAAACACTAAGTTGATCTCGTCCGTTTTGATTTGTGACTTCAGGTGCAAATGATGTCTCGCTACTAAGTGTATCTCCTAACAGAATTTAATAAGTGATCAAATCCAATTTTCATTAACACATTAAACTCACTTAACTTGCTAATTGATTTAAACAGATTGGTGAAGGAATCCTCTAACAATTGTTTTAATCACACAAAAAAAGAAAAAGGCCTTTTAGCACTCTGAAAAATCATACCTCGCTATTTTTCTAACAAATTATATTTTTTTAATCATTAACTGATGACATTTAAACCGACTTAGGAACGATGAAAAAAGATAATTAATTTTAGAATAGATAATAAATCAAAATTGCGAGAAAATTTCCGCAGCGAAGTGAGTTTTGACTAACGGAGGAGAAGTACTGGTGTAAAAGGACGGGAACAAGCAGTCGAGTTTGGATTTAAAACATCAAGCTAAAATTATTAGGAATTCCGCATTGTTTGCCTAGACGTTTACATGTATAGTTTTTTTTTTTTTTTTTCAAGTTTAATCTCACGTGCAGAAAGATTTAGTATTCTAAATAACTGTAATTTGCAGTAGAATTATTAAAAATTTTCCTATTGTTTGTAATATAATTATCACCATTATTCATTGTGCAAATGTCGCTTTAATCTAACATATTCCTTAATTTAAGTTAAAATTGGAATTACAAGCTGGATTGTAGTTGCATCACTAATCTATCATGGGATCCAATTTTAGGCGAAAAACAAATGGGATGGATTCGAAAAGTACGAAAAAAATAAACTGATTGGATGAACGATAAATTTGTGATAATCTTATCCATGCTGTCAACAGTTTCTACATGAATAATAAGTTATATCTTCATTAGTAAACCTCATTAATCCTATTTTTGAAGATGCATCAATGTTTAAATTAATAAAATTTTTTTTTTGTTTAATCATATTTATCTGTAACCATTTTTGTATATTATTTGCGTTAAAATTAAGTTTACCTAATTTACTGCAGATCCTTGAATCATTCATTTTCCTTTCTTTCCCTTTTCCTTTTTGTTTCCAAATCCTTGAAACACATGTTTTAAAGTAAATACACAAACGATAAATGAAAAAATGCGGATGATTTCACAAAGGTCTGAGATTTAAAAATTTCGGATCAAAAACACTTGAATGTCTGATAGTGATTTTCAGGTATTTGTTTGTTGATAGCGCTTTTGCATATGCAATTAGTTAGTATCTTCAGTTCGAATTTTTGTTGGGAAATCTAAAATATAAAAAATTATTACTTTTGCTTCTTTCTTAATAAAATTTAAGGAATTGTTAAATTATATGGTTAGCATCATTTTATCATTGATTGTCAACTATTTTTGTATGAAATATTTCGCAATAGTTAATTACTGAATACTTATCGAAAGCTGTTGCCAAAATATGATTGCAAATATTTGAAACAAAAAAATAAAACGTAAACTCAAAGTGACAGTTTATGAACAAGTTTTTCCAACACTTTTTGATGGTCTTAATGTTGTACCTATTAAAGTTGCATAACTCATATTATCATGCATTGATTTACAATTTCCATACGCTATGATACACATTCCGGAAGATGTGATAAATTTTCTCATAAATTCCATATTTTCAACTTGAATGAAATATAGAATAGACAAAGTGTAAATTAAATTCTATTTAGATAAACGAAATCAAATTTATCTCCTTTGTTTGTGTTTAATTTTAGCTGAAAATTTGAAGTGTTAGATTGTCCAAAAGCAAGTTTTTCTCTGGATTTTATCATCCAACTCAACTTCAACTTATATGTTTAAAAACAGTGGTAGTTTTAAAATCAAATATTTGCTGGAGTTGTAAGGGATCAAATAATTTTATGGTATCGTTAATTGATGATAATAAAAGATTTGTCATATAAGACATTTTTACACTCTTAAATGATTATCATTCTGCTTTTTAATGTTTTTCATCCTTTTTTTTCAAAACCAAATCTTGAAAATCTTCACATTTTGTGGGAATTTAAAAGTTCCGAATGTGAGATTATTTAGGCTGGACGAATACTTTCAGGATACGTCTCAAAATGAAAATAGTTTGGAAACAAATAATATTGCAGTTCATCTTAATTTAAGGATTAAAAAGGTAATTTGATGAGAAAATAGCTCATTTAAGATCCATTCTAAATATTTCAGTTTAAATAAGATGCTTTCAACCTTTTTAAAAAAGAATTTACAGTTTGCGACAAAAGAAAAAAGGGTTCGAAAGTTTTCACAATAACGTTGGTAAGATAACTGCTATCTTTGTTCTTTTAATTTTGCGTAAAACACTTTAACTCTTTCACCTATCCATTAACATGAAGTAATGTCATTTAGAAATGATTTTTTTTTTTATTTAAGATATTCATATATTTCTTATTCTTTTCTAATTTGACGTGTATTTTAAACTGCAATTACTTTTATCAAAATATATTATGGCTATTTCCTACCTATTGTAATGACTCCAATGAATAATTCGGGTTTCAATATATGCGTTAACTCATTATTTGCATAAATTTGATAGTAAATTAATTAACTGTGGCAATGAGCATTGTTAATTTATGACACTGTTGTCTTTCATGAAGGATCTTCGAATTTATTCTATTTTGTAAACAATCTTTTATCTACCCATTAAGACCTCTTTCTTTTTTTTCCTTTTTTTTTGTATTTATTGTGTGGCTGAAATAAATTTTTATATTCATGCGACAGCTCATAAAATGCTATATGAAAGAGCTCAGACAGAAGTGCAAGCAAATAAGGTCTAATTCATGTCAATTTCCTGTTAAAAGATACTGTGAACGGATGAAAAATGAAAAGCTATCATAATTGTTAGGATTTCAATGATTAGCTGTTTTATAACAGTATGAAAATAAGCTATAAAATGTCACATTTTCATGATTTAAATCTAAAAAAAGCAATAAACATGGTCGTTGTCGTTTTTTCTTTTTCTTTTTCAAACATTTCCACATTTACTTTTCTTGCTTTCAACTCATTGTTCCCATCCTCTATAATGACTCAGAGAGGGAAATTATTTGATGGTTTACTGTTTCATGGAAATTGATCGATATAACACAATGGAACATTTCAATAATATTCCCTTCTATTACACGAAATTACCCGTTGTGACAAAAAAATTACCATTTATATATATGAGAGAACTCCATATAGTAAAATGGAGCAGTATTTGTTGTAAGGTAGGTCAGAGGAATAAAATTCACTCTCTTGTACGGAAGAGTTTAGATCAACATTAACGAAAAGAAGGCATTACCACAAATGGACAATCTTTTGTCACGGACGGGCAATAAGCATAACCAACCAACAACAATAATAAGCTAATGATGACAATGACATAACTTATTGGTAACCTCAAGAAGACATTGGAACAATTAATAGATGAATTTTGTGAGAAAAGAGAATATGATTGTATTTATATCAAATGAAAAATTTATTCATCATTCTTTATGATACATATTTCAGCAAAGTAATATTAGCATAGCACATGCTAACAATTCACATCTATCAAACAATGATTCTAGAAATATTTTAAATTTTAAACTTGCAAGATGAGATTAAAAGATAATCCATTAATGAGGGAAGAGAAAGAGAAGGAGAGAGAAGGACAGATTACGAATAATAAATCTGCTTGGTTATTGCAGTTATTTTTGCAAAAGAAAAGAGAAAAAACACGAGAACTGAAATGCTAAGCATAATGTCAACGATGGACGGAAGAAGGGATATTGACATTGTCACGGCGACTCAATCGGTGTGCTACAACACAATATTGATTGTGAGTTCGATTCCGGATCGTTGCAGAAATACTTTGCTGTATGTGTTTTACAATGGAGGCAAGAGCTTTTTAAGGTCAGAGGTTATGAGAAAATCAAGAGATGTTTTGAGTGTGAAGTGATATAAACTGAGTTATTGGTTATACATCTACCAGTCATAATAGTAATCACTTATCATATCACCAATAGCTTATCACTGACCAGCGAAGTTTGTTAAAAAAAAGTCCCTTAATTATCATTTATCTACTAGAGATTAGAAATCACTTGATTAATAGTAATTGACAGTGCCGATGGTCATTTCATTTTGTCGTTTTTGGATGATAAATGTTCATTTTTTTAATATTATAGTTGAATTGAGAATGATTAAACACATTTAGGATCTTTAACACACCGAGATATTCAGTTTACAATTGTTGCTATCGAAAAATTCCGCAATAAAGAAATTAATGCATACTTCTTTTTCGCTATGACAGAAAAATGTTCCTAAAATTAACCTTAATAGGGTCACGTTGGACAAAAAGATTTCACATTAATGAGTAACTTTACGGACTTTATTTTCTTTCAGTCAATTCAACCTTTTTTCTCCCTAAATCCAACACTTAGGCATTTAAAAGGCTACACAATTTCTCAAAAGATGGCAATTATGGCAGTTTGGATCGATTGAAGCTACTCATAGTCATCGGTTTTTTTCGCTTTTCATCTATAAATTGCTTCCATGTTAGCTTACGAGTTCACTTCCCGTTAAATAACGTAGTGAAAATGATTGGACTTCTTCATGCTGTGACTGTTGCTTATTTTCAATTTTAGTGTTATAGTATTTCTATTCGGGTTCTGCATCTTTTTTTTTTTCTTTTTGATACATGCGATAAAATATTGACAAAAGATGAATCCTAACTATTTGATCAATGCTTTCTATTACAGTATAACGATGTTGATAAAAGTTTACAATCTGGTCTATTTGGTGACAGTATATTCGTAATCCGATGCATGTGTTGGTTGTGGAAATGATCAGTGAAGTGGATTGTCGTCGTGGCGCACATGTCAATCCAGACATTTTCAAGCTTGAAAATAAACCTAAGGTTTGCTGTTTATCGTTTACGCTAAACTGAGGTTCAAAGGAAAAATCAGCTTCAGTTTTTCTAATGAAGTTTTTATAAGTTTAACTGATGTTTGATGTTTGTTTTAAAAAAAAAGTCCTTCCAAGAATTTGAATGCAATCGTTCGGAGATGGGAGCTTAAAGAAATTGTTACCATGATATAAAAGCACTTATCGTGTACGTTAGGCGCTTAATAACTGCGGAAACAGTTCCCTGAGGATTAGTAGTTTATACTTTATTTTTTACGTTTTAAAGAATATACTTCAAGCTTTTCTTCTTTATTCCTTCTGTAAGATGCGGTACGTATTTAACTTTCCAATGTCAACTTCACGCTTGGGAATATTGCTGCTTTAGTTACTCTTAAAGTTTATAGAAATATTATGGATGTTTAATGACTGTTTTCAGAATATATTATGTCACGAAATCGGTGCAGGTTCTCCTTGTTTAAAATGTAATTGTCCGGGTCTCGATTTGCACTACTGGAGGTAATTTTTTTTAATGCTTGGTAAGAACAGAGATAACTTTTCTTATCATATCTTTCTTACTGCACTGTAAAAATAATTTTTGCAGAAAAATGTGTAAAGTATGTTCGTGCAGAATGGATGATCACGATGTAATTTTGCCACGAAACATGGATCATGGTCAAATAGTGATAGGTTCTCATTTCATTTCATCTTTCACTGATTATTTTCGTTCATTTTGTTTAAAATCCCAAACATGTCGATCTTACACATTAACTTCAGTGTTTAAGAATATACTAATCCATATTTCGTTAATTATGTAATTCTTTTACAGGTCGTTTGTTTGACTTTATACCCGAGTTTGAAAGCAAATTACATTTACATCCACCATCACCTTCATTACCGTACTCAAGAAAGGCTTATCCCGTTCATAATATTAAATATGAGGTCTACAGTTTTCATGTGAAAGAAGTAATTAGGTATATCACTGAAAATATTTGCACTTTAATTTAAGAAATCTTTAAATTAGCTCGCAAAAACTGATTCGCATTATCTTAAGCAACTTTCAGAAAATCAAACCAGAGTCAATGTACAATGTGAAACTTGAAGATGCTAAAGAAAAAAACAAAATGTCGGAGTATACGTGGGTTCCAACAGCTGACAGAGTATTAGCTGAAAAATATTTCAGTACTCTTCCGGAAAATGAACGCCCTATTGCTGATACTGAAGGTGCCCTAGATCGGCGTCATAAATTGCTGCATCAGGTTTGATTCCGTTTTTTTTCTTTTTCTTAAGCAACCTTATATGTGTGTGCATCTTTTTTTGAGCCTTAGTAGAGTGATTTAATCAAAGTTCTATTTAAAAAGAAAATTTTACTTTTTTTCTTCATCATTCATATCACTAATCCTATCTTGTACGAATGATTTTAAATTTCACTTTTTAATCTCCTTCTTTTGTCAGATTTGAATGCTCACCCACGCAATACATTCGGACGTTTCTTTCACTTTGTTTTCTCATTTGAATATTTCTCTTCAGTTACCACATCATGATTCTGATGCATCTGCAGCGAAATCTTTGAAGACTGAATTGGATAGGAAGGAGCACGCGAAGTATGTAAATACTGTGAAGGAAAGGGTTCGTTGCATGTTCTGTCTAATTCTGATTTCTATATTGCAATGCTTTATGTAGCCGAGCCACATGTTCTACTTCAGATGAGAACAAACGATAATGCCATTTAAAATATTTTGGAAAGTTTAGATTGTTGGTGTGGGCAAGTTGATTGAGTGCTCTGAAACGAATGCGTTTTATGATAGCTGGAAGAAAACTACAGCACCTGGATCACATAGTACTGGAAGCGTCGGTTTGCAAGACAATTATGGGGTTATCAAGAATTTTGCTGTTACATTCATTTTGTACTTCAAACTTTCTGCATATTTAATCTCACCTATAAACGATTTTTATTTTAAAATATCTCCAGCTTTGTTTGGAATGTTGATGAAACCGGTGTTTTTTCATATCAGACAGTCATTGAAATTTTTGAGTTTTAGGAGTGTAAATTTTGCCACAAGAATTTGCAAATCGGAGAGATCGCTGTTGTGACAGATCATGGATCACCAGATGTTAGTCTTTTTAAATCTTTTTTGATTAACCAATTTTTCGGAAAAATTGCTGTATGCTTCCATAAACTTGAATTTTTAGGAAATGTGGCATGTCAACTGCTTCAAGTGCCATGTTTGTAATCAGAGGCTTGTGGACCTTCTGTATTTTTATAAGAATGGTATTTATTACTGCGGTCGTCACTTCGGCGATTCTGTTTATCCGAGATGTTCCGGTTGTGATGAGGCTGGTGATGTGAAAGTTTGCACCGAAAAGGCTTATTTTTGGATTTAGGGGGTGTAATGGATGCTTCTGACTATTAACAAGTGTCTATCTCTCTGAGCTCAGTAATATCCATGCTTATCGATAGTTATGGCTTATCCTAAGATCTAAGGGCGTACTTTCGTTGATGACTGAATATTCCTAGGGATAGAATCCTCAGTTTTCTTAAATATCTTACTTTCTGTTGAGAGTCAATAATTATGGGTGCTATTTTAGCTTATTTTCTCGAAAGAATATACTTTCGCAGAGGATAAAAGTTGGCACTTGGATCATTTTTGTTGTTTTGGGTGTGATATGCAACTCGGTGGCCATCGTTATATGATGAAAGATGAACAGCCTTACTGCTTTCATTGCTATATGAAAAGATATGCAAAGGTGGATCCTAAAATGTTATTTCATAATAGATATTTCCATCTTAACATATTAGAAAAAAATCTTGTATACATCTAACAATGGGTAATTCCACATGTAATTATGTAATTGCAATTAAATCTAAAATTTATTTTCTTATGTTGAATAGCTCATAAACATTTAGACTTGCCGATTTTGCCTCATCAAAATAGCACCTGATCAACAGCGGATTTCATTCAAAGACCTACACTGGCATGCTGGAGACAATTGCTTCCGGTGTGTTGTCATTTTCTTTTTCCAGACTAACTTTAGAAAGAAATGTCTGATACCGATCGCTTATAATTGACTACTGCAATAAGATTCTATGTACTTCTCATGTGACAGTACTCATATGCATCCTTTCATCATATGGAAGCTGTTTTTAGGTGCAGATACTGCAATAAAGTGCTGCTGAATCAAAGGTTCATCGTCAAAAATGAGGAGGTTTTTTGTAGTTCAGAATGCAAAAGAAATTTTGTGGTTTGAATATTGGTGTTTATGAAAATAAAGACACTCTTATTATATTATCTTCCTCTTGCTGTCTTGTTTCTCTTTCTTGATGTGTCACCATTACGTATCCTGTTTTCTAACTTCATTTATAAGCTTGATTAGTCTACACTTTACTAGTAGTAACATGAAACTTCACTTCTTTTCGGCTTATTTTTGTTTTTGTATTTTTTAAGGCTTACTTATTAGAAATATTAATAAATATTCATTCAGCAGGTCAGTTATAACGATAATAAACTTGAACAAACACATTTAGTTATGTTTTACTTAGCAATTGCAGACACTGATAGTGCGATATACATATGTATCTTTGTCAGTGTAAGTCTACCGGTGTATTGTCATATTTCATTCCTGAAAACCGTATATTGCTATACATGCGTGCTTGAAAAGCATTAGGTTACTTTCATTTGTTTTCATATTTCACCTATTTATAATGTTTTATACTTATCAGCCAAGTTTGTTTTTCACATCTTCCGTGATGATTTTTTCCTGATGTTGATTTTCAAAGAAAGTTCCAGTTTTTTTTTTTTCCTGTAATGTTAAAAGTCACATTGTTGTGTGGTGTTTGGTTGATTTTTGTTATAGTTTCATCCCGTCGTCACCTTTCGGAAGGGAAGATGTTTAAGTTCCGAAGATTAAAATACTTTAAAAATGATTGTAATTAAACGCCCAAAACATGCATATAGGTTAGGAATGGGAGAAAGTGAGTATGGTTCTCACTCTTACAATATTTTATAGCGTTTTAAAAATGGAAGAACAACTAGGAAATCGGGACTTGAAATAGAGGGAGATGAAAAACTAAGTGGGGAGAAAATCAAAAGAAAAGATGGAATAAAAGGATAAAACTGTGGAGATTATCAAATCGATGGGATTATGCATGGATTGACTCATCCAAGATCATATTTTACAATATTATATATCCTCATATCTATTTTTCTTTTGTCCTGCTTACAGTTTAGCAGTTGATTAGTTCATTCGTTAGATTTCATTTGCACCACAGCAACACTTCAACCTTGACATCAGTCATCTCCTCCCTCTCTCCATTACCATAATTTTCATAGTTTTGTACTAGATACATTTGATACCGAATTTGTCAAAAAGTTTGCGAAGTAGCGACTTATTGCGTCACAAATCAGCATTTTAAATAATGTTGAAAACTCGATTTGTTACCACACTTTGATATTTAGCATTACGACAAATGACTGAAATAACAATCCATAATATATAGGGGAAGATGAAGTCCATACAGTCGTGAGAATTTTCGCGATCTGTAAATCGTGACTATCGTTCGGTGTAGTGCATTTCAGGAAGGTCATTTTGATACCCATTCCGATGACTGAAAAAGATAATGAAGTATTGGCTGATCATAATCAACATTTAGTCAAGAAATTCTACCCTGTAAGTGCTATACGTTTCATCATTTGCGCTTCAATTTATGTGTTTGAGAAAGGAAAACCTTAAGAGATTGCCTGGAAATGAACGGTGATAATCAATCATTTGGTCATTGTAGATGAACATTTCTGTGGTGCGAAAGCGTACGGAAAGTCAGGGAATAATCCTACAGTTAAGTGCTTTGATATGGTTAACCTTACAAAATTCATCACATACATTATTGTTGCGGTATTCGAGAGTGCGAGTTGTCGAGAAGGTGTTTCTTCCCTCAGTTGCTGTATTTTACACTGAGCTTCTCAAATTAATCATTTGCCTGCTTTTCATCATTTATGAAGAAAAGAGCGTATGCAGGTTATTTAACTTCATCCTTAAAGTTTCGGTTCCTTCGAGAGTCAAAAATTTCCCATGCAGGTGCATTCTCAGGAAGAAGTTCTGTTTGTGTCCGATAGTTAACTGATTTGATAACCTATATCACTGTTAACAAGTGAGTTCGTAACACTTTAGAAATAGTGAATTTGTTTTTGTTTTCTCTTTAAGACTTTTAAAAACTATAGTGGGTGCTTCATTGGCACCATATTTAGTATGACAACGTTATAATACTTGGATTCAATTATGGTAGGTAATTTGTTGCCATTTTATTTAATTCAAAAGGCTAAAAAATAGGCTTTACTTCTGTAGCTGGATGATTATCCGATTATGCTCGCGAGTTAATTTCAGTATGTTGAATCTTGTGAAGCGACAAGTATTTTATAATTTGAAAGATACTTTCAAAGTCTGCATTCCTGCAGTGATCTACATTATACAAAATAATCTGTTTTATTTGGCAGCATCTCATCTGGAAGCAGTAACATATATGGTTACTTTTTCTCTTTATAATTTTGCATGAGAGAGAATGAAGAAGGAAAGTAGTTATCATGATTTTGAAGAAAGAATATGAATTTGCATTTTCCAGGTGACTGCACAGTTGAAAATTTTTACAACAGCAATATTTGCAGTAATTATGTTGAAAAGAACCATTACTAGAAAGCAATGGCTATCGCTTGGTGTTCTTTTTGTTGGTGTATGTCTTGTTCAGTTAGACCAACAAGGAACAAAGAAGACCTTTTTCAGTGATCCTTATTTAGGTAGCACTTTTCTGATTTTAATCGTGAATTCAGCCTTTCTAGCCAGTTACCGCTAAAGAAATAGTTCTAAAACTTCCGTGATAAGGTGCTTGGGGAAATGCGAGGTACGGAAGGAGAGTCTATGTGTACTATACAATTGTTCCAGTAGTGGAGGATACGCTGTAGTGTATACTTTAATCAATCCTTCTGTATTTTATCACTGAAGGTTGTTAACCCTTAAGTTGTATTACAAGTAGGTAACTTATTGTACAAACAGAAATTATCATTTGTATTTATCAAAAGATTTTTAAATGCTAGAATAAATAATAAGTTTCTCACTGTTAATTTCCCGTTCTTTTCAGGATTTTTGGCTTCTGTTTCTGCATGCATTCTTTCCGGTTTTGCAGGAACATATTTCGAAAAGATTTTAAATACCAGTCCATCTGTATCGGTATGGATACGTAATGTGCAGTTGGCATTGTTTGGAATACCTTCAAGTTTCACTGCTTCTTTTATGAAGGTATTGTATATAAAAATATATACAAAATAGGAAATTTCCTATGCTATTATTGTACTACGTTACTGATTTTTACACCTTTTTGTTCCATAAATAAAAAAAAACCGAAAAAGCATTATCGAGGAAGTCTAAGATATCCGGAAGTGTTCGGTAATTTGGTAGACGGTTCATGTTTAAATGGTACCATTACTATAATGCATTTCTATACTGCATTTATGATCATTCATCTGATGAGGCTTCCAGTGTCGGCCTAATTCCGTTTTAACGGATTGAATGGAATCCGTTTGCTTAAATCATTGGGAAGCATGTCCCACTGTGTCTTAGTGTTTCTTGTTACTGCCACATTCAAAGTGATTCTGAGTCATAAGATTGTTATGTAATGATTTGTTTCAGGATCATGAAACAATTTTTAATGAAGGTATGCTATATGGTTTTGATATGCTAGTTTGGGTTGTTGTTTTCTGGTATTGCATTGGTGGTTTATCCGTTGCAGTATGTATTAAATATTCTGGCAATATAGCGAAAAATTTTGCAACATCGGCTGCTATAGTTATTAGTATGGTAGCGTCAATATATCTTTTCGACTTCATTCCTAATCCATTATTTTTACTTGGAACCGGATTGGTTATCACCAGTATCTTCCTATATTCTTCTTGAGTTTTTCCATGAAATCATGGAATTTGCTGGGTGTGGGAAATTAAATTTCTGCAAGATTTATGCATTGAAAAGCTTAAAATTTTCCTTTTGGTGATCTATTTGACAAAATATTTCAAAGACCACCCTTTTTAATTAGTGTACTATATGTGGAAGACTACATTTTTCTCATCTGTTACCATTTTCTACTTAATGCACTGGTCACCTTTAATTAGTTAATATAGAGATTGAAACAATTCCAGATACTTTAGATCACTTGAACAACCATAAACCTCTTTCCATTTTAAAATAATATTTATACTTATAAGTAGGAGACATTTATCAAGAAAGTCATATGAAGGATCATTTGTTTTTTGCTACAAGTAAGTCAATATTAGTTGTCATTAAGAATATATCTGCAAAAAATTTCTACAATATTGGAATAGGTAGTATGATCCCACTTACTTTAACTCCACTTAAAACCCCACTTAATGGTCCCAAAGCAAAATCCCTAATTACGGAGAGAGTGGCAAAAAATTTATTCACCATTTAAATTTAACAATGAACCTGCGATACTATTCAGACACGTATTTCATTTTATAATCTAAAAATATTTTTTATTGTTTCTTATCCTGTCCGTTTTTTTTTCCCTTTTTTTTTGTATTTTCATTTTTTTTTTTTAAATTTTATGGCTATATTCCTTAGGAACATCATATTAGATCATCATATCAACTTCTATTCATAAATTTACTCTCCGAGAAGAGAATCGGAGAATATATTTTTTGTATTTGTTGGGAGTGCTTTTTTTTTTTCCTCTAAAAGAATGGAACTCTAAAAGTGTTTCATTAGTGTGCTTTTTTTTTTTTTATTTATATTCATGAAAATTTCTGGGCGATAATACAATTAAATGTGCCTCGATTTCTTCTTCATTGACTATAAGGCATACTGTGTCTTTCATTCTATTTCTCGTTTTTAAATTCATTTGAAAAAAAAAATTGTTATAATACTTCAGGTGAAATCAATAAGTGTATCTTGATAAGGGTCATGTTTCAAATATTTTACTAATATTTTGAAATTAAAAATGTGAAACTCTAAAACATTACTTAGCAACATTATGGAAGAGATACCCAAGTGTAGAGGAAATGTTAAATGACAGTATGTTATTTGCTATACAATGTTATCTCTTCGCTTTCAATGTATGATATAATGTCATAGTGTATAACAGCTAATAATATTCGACTATCCATCACTAAAACGGACAATTTCGAGTATTTCTACTATTATTGTACTGTGAGTTCAACATTTTTTAGGCAATAAAAGGAAAATTGTCACAG